GCTGGAAACAAACTTTGTTACCTAGAGATATGCTTCAGTTTCCTTTGCTACTAAAGATAGACTTAATTTGTTAGCAATAAAGGCACTTTGTATATGTATTTTATTATTTTTGTAAAAGGGTTTCTATGTTTCAGTTAACAGGTAGTTTGCTCCAAAATCTATCTATTTTTTTGGCAAGCTTTGTTACATAGAGATAGGTTGACTTCCCAAAGCCATAAATCCTAGAAACACTAGTGATAAACCATAAGCTATCTGTTGTGGATACTATCTAGTTTGTTAGGCTAGAAACAAACTTTGTTACCTAGAGATATGCTTCAGTTTTCTTTGCTAATAAAGATAGACTTAATTTGTTAGCAATAAAGGCACTTTGTATATGTATTTTATTATTTTTGCAAAAGAGTTTCTATGTTTCAGTTGATAGGTAGTTTGCTCTAAAATCTATCTATTTTTTGGCAAGCTTTGTTACATGGAGACAGATCGACTTCCCAAAGCCATAAATACTGGAAACGCAAGTGATAAACCCCAAGCTATCTATTGTGGACATTATCTAGTTTGTTAGGCTAGAAAAAACTTTGTTACGTAGAGATATGCTTCAGTTTCCTTTGCTAATAAAGATAGACTTAATTTTTTAGCAATAAAAACACTTTGTATATGTATTTTATTATTTTTTAACCTGAGTTTCTATGTTTCTGTTAACAGGTAGTTTGCTCCAAAATCTATCTATTTTCTGGCCAACTTTGTTACACAGAGATAGATCGACTTCTCAAAGGCAAAAATTCTGGAAACTCTAGTGATAAACCACAAGCTATCTTTTGTCGACACTACCTAGTTTGTTAGGGTAGAAACAAACTTTGTTACCTAGAGATATGCTTCAGTTTCCTTTGCTAATAAAGATAGACTTAATTTGTTAGCAATATAAAGGCACTTTGTATATGTATTTTATTATTTTTGCGAAAGGGTTTCTATGTTTCGGTTGACAGGTAGTTTGCTCCAAAATCTATCTATTTTTTAGCAGGCTTTGTTACATAGAGATAGATCAACTTTCCAAAGCCATAAATCCTGACAACGCTAGTGATAAACCATAAGCTATTTGTTGTGGACACTATCTAGTTTGTTAGGCTAGAAACAAACTTTGTTACCTAGAGATATGCTTCAATTTCTCCTTTGCTAATAAAGATAGACTTTGTTAGCAAGAAAGTCACTTTATATATTTTTATTATTTTTGCAGAAGAGGTTCTATTTTCCGTTATTAACAAATAGTTTGCTCAAAATGTATCTAATTCTTTGCACTAAAAGTTGTTTTATTTTTTGTGCCTTGTTTGATTGAGCCGTCTTTAATATATATCTGTGTGCCATATCAGATTTTGTCAGTGTGCGCAACCCCTGGAAGAATCTTTATCCAAATGTTTCATACTGAGTTTGGGTTCAATTTGTTTAGTACCAGTATCTGAAAATAGGTTAATTGTGATGGTAATAGTAACATGCAATAGTGATGGGCATTTTGCCTGTCATTTTGGACGTGTTACTAATGATTTATCAAAGGTTGTCTGTCACATTTTGTACTCAATAGTGATTCATGGAAATTGACGTGCATCACTTTTACTAAAAGGATCCAATGGGAGTGCCCAAGAGGTGGGAGGGGTTGAATTGGTTATGTTGTATGTTGACTTAAATACTACTTAGACTTGGGCTCATGTGTTGACAACAAAAAATAGAAATATATGCCAACTAATATTTTCTCAACAATGTTGTAATTCCTGTAACAAAATAAGTTTTAGGCTATGTTTATATTGGACATGGCATCCTAAGTTTTTTCCTTGTTGCAACACAAGTGCATATTGGCTAGTATTGATAAAGTTTCTATCTGCAGCTAACAAATTCTATCTCTAATAATGAAGTTTATGTCTGGATAGCTTTTGTGATAACAATAAAAGGACAAGTTCTCTTCTTGCTAACAAATCTATCTTCAGCACATAAAGCATCTTTAGATGACGGAGTTTATTTCTAGCCTAACAAACTAGATGGCTTGTTGCATGAAACTATCAGTCCATTTCCACAGTTTATGGCTTAGAAAGTTGATGATCTCTTTAGGGCAACAAAGTTTGTTCTAGCCTAACAAACTAGATAGATTTTTTATGAATGATCAGTCCGTTTCCTAACGAACTAGATAGCTTGTTATATGAGACTATCAATCCAATTCCATGCTTTATGCCGTAGAATGTAAATTTTTATAGGTAATAAAGTTTGTCTCTGGATTACAAGATTTGTTTCTACTTTAACATACTAGATAGCGTGTTGTATTAGACTATTAGCTCGTTTCCAGAGTTTATTGTTTTAAAAGTTGAACTTTAGATAATATAAAGCTTGCCTCGCCTTACCAACAAATTCTACCTTAACATACTAGATACTTGATGGCAAAGGGTTCGATCTAGTATATATCTTGAGCAAATAATAACAAGAAAACTACCTATAACAATATTTTTCCACATGACAAAGATGATGAATTGCAGTGAGCATATTTCCTACTAGATAGGCGTGTGGTGAAGAAGGGAGATGGTTGCTAGGAGATCACCGAGCCAACAATGAGAATGCAACATTGAACAACGGTACTGCTATCTTGACTTGGGTGTAAAGCAATATTTTCCTATACCTCAAACTCATGTAGCTTTGCTATATTGGTTCGAATTTTTTCAAAGTGACCAATGGATACTCCGGTGGGGGTCACCAGAGTTCTTCGATGGGTTTGGAACCTTATGTGTACCTCTCTGGAACACACTGGAAACTCTAGCGCTAGCATCGAAGAGTTCATCAGAGAGTGGTTCAACGAGGGAGTTTTCTTTGAAAATCTTCGTGCTGAGGGCACCAAAAAAGTCCCGTGTTGCTGGACGAGAAGAGCACCAGACAATAGGCTACACCAACGACTATTCGAGTGTTTAAATCTAGTCGTTGAACTAGTCATTGAGAAACCTGTGGTGGTCTTCTCTAGTGGTCACCAAAGTTTTTTCGGTGAGCATGAACTCTAGTTTGAAAGTGAGTAACGGCTAGTTTTGTGTGTGCGGTTATAAATAGGTGATGTATGCTTAGTCATTGACATCTCTTGGACTCCTTGACTGATATTCACACACATTTGAGCTCAAGTTAAGACTCCACTCACATTTGCTTATTAGCTGAGATTGCATTTGGGTGAGATTGGAGAGGATCTAGTGCATTTACATTGAGAGTTTGCATCTAATGGCACTACTTCATCGTCTTGGCTACAAGATGTGGCAGAACCGCCTAATTTAATACACTCCCAAGAGTACTTGTCTTCTATTAAACACTGAGTACTCCGAGGAGCACACTAAATCAGACAGTTCCGTCGAGTATACCCAACAGGAGAACTCGAAAATCCATATTTTTCATCAGGACATAAATAAGTGAGTAAAGCTTACATCATTCTTAATCCATTTCATACATCACAAGGTTACATAAAATCGGAGTTATTACAATATTAGATTTATTACAACAAATTTTATACAACAGCGGAAATAACAATTATGGGGTAACATGAACATGAGTTGATATATTACAGGTTTACATATTTTTATCTTGCAACAGAAAATAATAGAGGGAAGTTGCTGGTTAGGACGGCAGCCATAGCCACTCAAGTTAATCTTTTTGTGACATTTTTGGGATTAAGACTATTTTTTTGAGGAATGGATTAAGATCATTTCCCCTAATGAGATAAAAATGCTAGGGCCGGCATGTTTTCCAAGCAGAGTTTCATTATGGAAATTTGACAAGTACTCCATATAACTCATGTAACACAATATATAGCTTTATTGCAACAGGGGCGATAGCTAACGCCAAAGTTTGTGATCAGAAGTACAAAGGACAAAGTTTTTTATTCTCCGCAGAGGCACGCACTCACTGATCACGGACATTGTTTAAAACAAACATATAAGGTTTAGATCTTCAAAGTCTCAATCATTCTTATTCCTTTAGAAAAGTGTTCTTTGACCCCCTCTAAGAAGCCCGCCTCTGTAATCCTCCTGTACCTTGCTGGTCGCTTCTCATCCAGTAAACCGGCCGCCGGCTCAAGCACATTGTCACGTTGCACCGCATAGAGCATGGCCAGTGAGATCCTCTCCTTCTCTGCATTCGTCACAACCCTGTGCACTGGGCTTTTGAATATCCCATTGTTCATTATCTGTATCAAAATTTTGTAGTCAAGTTTAGCATAAAAGATTCAGGAAGTTGGATATACATCAGTTTCATTTATTTAGTTATTTTTGGAAATTTAATCACCACAGAGATTCAGGACACACAATATAATAGCTTGGATTCCCAGTTGCCTACCTCCAAGGAGTCTCCCAGGTTAATCACCAGAGTGTGAGGAATGGATGGAACATTGAACCACTTGTTCTCTTTCTGAACCTGCAGTCCACCGACCTCACGATCGACCAGAAGAACCGTCAGAAGAGGGCCGTCAGAGTGAGCCTTGATACCCAAGACGAGCTCTGGCCTTGGACAAGGAGGATAGTAGTTGAATCTGGCATAAGCTTGAGGACGACCACCAATCTGGTTGATGAAATCTTCTTCATCAATCTCCAAGATCTTGGCCATCGCTCGCAAGATCTTTTCCATAACAGTCTTGGTTTTTGTTGCGTACTCGTGCAGAAGATCCCTGCAAAAAGGAAGAACAGTTCAGGCAAAGGCCATTTGTCTTGCTAATGTGTTAGTAGTAGCAAGCTGACAAATATGGTTTTCTGTTTCTTGGAGTATACTACACAAGACACATGAGTGATGAGTCCTATGTAACATAAACGCTCACATGTGTATTTTTTCATTTATTTTTCTTTGAAAACTAGTAAAAGAAAAGCCTGGAAAGTGAGGAGGAATTGTTTTGAGTGCCGGAATTTCACAATAAACTGTTTGGTTTATTAAATGATCTAGGGAAAAACATTTCCATTATTCCAGTTCTAGAAAGGCTAAAACTAAAAAGGAGAGTAGGAGGTGACCTGAAGGATTCAGGATGTTTGGGCCATTGAGCAAGGTTTCTTTCGTCTTTAGGCTCCACCTTTAGTTGCAGGCGATCGCTCCAGTCAAGGATATGATCATGCGCTATCACCGGATCACTGCCGTACCCTTCCAGCTGGAAGCGCGTGCCTTCCCTCATGTTGCTGTATTTCTGCCTCTCCTGGAGCGGCTGGTTGAAAAACTCTCGTGACGCCTTCATCAGATCCTCTATTAGAGAAGCGTCTATGCCATGGTTGGTAGCCTGCATGGCATGGCACAGAGACAGCCATTGCATGCATGAGGAGGCAGCGATGGAGCAATGTTCGCATGATGATGCAACATGGGAACCGATCGAGAGGGAGAAGAAGAAGAAGAAGCAGGGAATCGATCTCACCAAGAAAAGCCCCCAGGTTTGTAGCGCGGAGCGGAGCTTGGCGGCCTCGTCGGCGGTCGATAGCTTGTCGAGGTCGACGATAGGCAGGGGATCCGGCATGTCAGCTGCGACCGTCAGGCTGCCAGGGCGGTCCTCCTCCCGCTGCACGAACTGGCTCGGCGGCTCCTCCACGAGGGTGACCAGGTCTTTCACTGGAGTCGGCACCTTCCATGATTCACCAGCCATCGGTGCTTGTTTATTACTACCACACACGAAGATGAGCAGCAGCTCTCTAAGCATATTTATAGTGTTTCCTGAATCCTGATCAACTTTCAGTAGGTAAAGTGATTAGGCTACAGAGAGAGTTTGTTACATAGAGATAGATTAACTTCCCGAAGCCATAAAACCTGGAAACGCTAGTGATAAACCACAAGCTACCTGTTGTTGACACTGTCTAGTATGTTAGGCTAGAAACAAAGTTTGTTACCTAGAGATATGCTTCAGTTTCTCCTTTGCTAATGAAGATGGACTTTGTTAGAAAGAAAGGCACTTTGTATACTCTATTATTTTTGCAAAAGAGTTTCTATTTTTTAGTTAACAGATAGTTTGCTCCAAAATCTATCTTTCGGTTGGTAAAGTGATTAGGCTATAGACAGACTTTGTTACATAGAGATAGAATCGACTTCCCAAATCCATAAATCCTGGAAATGCTAGTGATAAACCACAAGCTATCTGTTGTTGACACTATCTAGTTTGTTAGGCTAGAAAAAAAGTTTGTTACGTAGAGATATGCTTCAGTTTCCTTTGCTAATAAAGATAGACTTAATTTGTTAGCAATAAAACCACTTTATATATGTATTTTATTATTTTTGCAAAGAGTTTCTATGTTTCAGTTAACGGGTAGTTTGCTCCAAAATCTATCTATTTTTTGGTAGGCATTGTTACGTAGAGATAGATCGACTTCCCAAAGCCATAAATCCTAGAAACGCTAGTGATAAACCACAAGCTATATGTTGTTGACACTATCTAGTTTGTTAGGCTAGAAACAAAGTTTGTTACCTAGAGATATGCTCCCGTTTCCTTTGCTAATAAAGATAGACTTAATTTGTTAGCAATAAAGGCACTTTATATATGTATTTATTATTTTGCAAAGAGTTTCTATGTTTCAGTTAACAGGTAGTTTGCTCCAAAATCTATGTATTTTTTGGTAGGCTTTGTTACGTAGAGATAGATCGACTTTCGAAAGCCATAAATCCTGGAAACTCTAGTGATAAACCACAAGCTATATGTTGTTGACACTATCTAGTTTGTTAGGCTAGAAACAAAGTATGTTACCTAGAGATATGCTTTAGCTTCCTTTGCTAGTAAAGATAGACTTAATTTGTTAGCAATAAAGGCACTTTGTATATGTATTTTATTATTTTTGCAAAGAGTTTCTATATTTTAGTTAACAGGTAGTTTGCTCCAAAATCTATCTATTTTTTGGCAGGCTTTGTTACATAGAGATAGATCGACTTCCCAAAGCTATAAATCCTGGAAACGCTAGTGATAAACCACAAGCTATCTATTGTTGACACCATCTAGTTTGTTAGGCTAGAAACAAACTTCGGTTCCTAGAGAAATGCTTCAGTTTTCTTTGCTAATAAAGATAGACTTTGTTAGAAAGAAAGGCACTTTGTATATTTTAATATTTTTGTAGAAGGGTTTCATTTTTTCAGTTAACAAATAGTTTCCTCCAAAATCTATCTATTATTTGGCACTAAAAGTTGCTTTTATTTTTTGTGCTTTGTTTGATTGACCCATCTTTAATATATATCTGGGTGCCATATCGGGTTTTATCAGTGTGCGCAACCCATGGGGGAATCTGTTATCCAAATGTTTCATACCGGTTTTGGGTTCAATTTATTTAGTACCAGTATATGAAAATAGCTTAATAGTGATGGGTAATAATAACATGCAATAGTGATGGGCATTTTGCCTGTCATCTTGGACGTGTTACTAATGATTTATCAAAGGTTGTCTGCCACATTTTGTACTCAATAGTCATTCATGGAAATTGACGTCCATCACTTTACTAAAATGATCCCATGGGAGTGCCCAAGAGGGGGGAGGAGGGCTGAATTGGCTATGTTGTGCGGTGACTTAAATCCTACTTAGACTAGAGCTCATGTGTTGACAACAGAGAATGTAAATATACACAAACTAATATTTTCCCAATAATGATGTAATTCCTGTAAAAAATAAGTTTTAGGCTATGTGTTATATCGGCCTTGGCATCCTAAGTTTTTTCCTTGTTGCAACACATGTGCATATTTGCTAGTATTGACAAAATTTCTATCTAGAGCTAACAAATTCTATTTCTAATAACGAAGTTTATTTCTCTGGCTAGCTTTTGTGATAACAATAAAAGGACAAGTTCTCTTCTTGCTAACAAATATATCTTTAGCACATGCATAAAGCATCTTTAGATGACGAAGTTTATTTCTAGCCTGACAAACTAGATGGGTTGTTCTATGAAACTATCAGTCCATTTCCACAGTTTATGGCTTGGAAAGTCGATCTTTAGGCAATAAAGTCTGTCTCTGGGTAACAAAGTTTGTTTCTAGCCTAACAAACTAGATAGATTTTTTTTTATGAATGACCAGTTTGTTTCCTAACAAACTAGATAGCTTGTTATATGAGACTATCAATCCATGTACATGCTTTATGCCATACTCCCTCTGTCCTGTAATATAGTGCATTCTAAAATTTTAAGACAAATTAAGGGAGAACATAAAGTCGCATGTACCCTCATTTTATTTCCTAATCAGACGCTATCATCGACATGATTAATGGTGATTGGTTGATAAATGGAAAGTATTTAATGCAAAACTGGTTTTTGTCCTCTAGAATGCATTATATTTGAGGACAAATTTTGAATGCTAGAATGTACTATATTATAGGATGGAGGGAGTAGAAAGTAAATTTTTATAGGTAATAAAGTTTGTCTGTGGATAACAAGATTTGTTTCTACTTTAACATACTAGATAGCTTGTTGTATTAGACTATTAGCCCGTTTCCATAGTTTATGGCTTTAAAAGTCGAACTTTAGGTAATACGATTAAAGCTTGCCTCGCCTTACCAACTAGATTGGTAATATAAAGCTTGCCTTACCAACAAATTCTACCTGATACTAAATACTTGATGGCAAACGGTTCGATCTAGTATATATTTCCAGTGGCGAAGCTAGAGCAAATGGGTGGGGGGTGCACAACTTCATCATGAATATAATGACCCATGTGATGTTCAAACAAATAGTATGACTAACTCACAATTTTTAACATCAAAATTCAACTTGTAGTAATGACAATGTGATTTTGGTCAAAACATAAGTAAACTGGTAGGGGCAAGGGCAATAACACTCACCGTTTATAAGTTATAACAAAATAAAGATGACATTGATCACTAGTGTAGTGATCAAAAGAATGCCAAAACGATGAACAAAAGATGTCCCATATAGCAAAATATGTGATCCAGCCTAAAGAAAAGAGAATAAATAGGTCAATTATTTAGCAAAAAAATGTAGAATTATCCATTGAAAGTAGATGCATTGCATTTGTATTACCCCTTAGAGATCATATTTATGCCCTTTTCCTTCCATGGTCATGAAAGGACGAACCACAGTCTCATTGCTAACTTTCTTCATTTCTTCCTTCCTCATCCCAATTGATTTCATCTAGACATGAAGTTCTATTAGCATTGATCGTGTCTTAGGCTTCTGTTTATAATACCTCTACATGATTACCTATAATTCATTCATTTGCATAATGAAATTGCAGTTCACAATAATTTCATTGAGGACGAACTCGAACTTGAGAAAAATTGAATAAACACTCACCGGCACTCCGGCAGGGGCAGCGAATCACTCAATGGGGGCGGGGTCGTAGGGAGCCAGACAACCAAGCAGTGGGCCCTAGGCGGCCACGGGCGGACAGCTATGGCTTCATGGAGCACTAGAGCTCGGAGCGAACGATGTCGCTGTGACCTGGGAGCCTAGGACGGGCGCCATGGACGGACAGCGGGTTGGCGGCGACGGAACAGTAGCAGCCAGCAGGAGCGCCTCTTATTTGCAAGCGCGAGGGCAAGGGCTAAAGGGTAGGTGATGCATCACGCCTTGCGCAGTCGTCGCGCGGAAGCGGAAGGAATCGCGAATCACGCAGTCATCGAAGCCTAAAGGAAGTGGTGCAGTGGGCTTCAAGGCCTAGTGGGGGTGCCTCCTATTGGGCCGTGGGGGTGCCTACAGGGGTAAAATTTGCCACACCTTAAGAATTTCTGGAATTTGGGGGGTGCCTGGGCACCCACGCCCATCTATTGGGCTTCGCCCTAATATTTCGAGCAAATAATAACAAGAAAACTACCTATAACAATATTCTTCCACATGACAAAGATGACGAATTGTAGTGAGCATATTTCCTACTAGATAGGCGTGTGGTGAAGAAGGGAGATGGTTGCTAGGAAATCACCGAGCCAACAATGAGAACGCATGCAACATTGAACAATGGCATGAATACTGCTATCTTGATTGGTGTAAAGCAATATTTTCCTGTACCTCAAACTCAGGTAGCTTTGTGTTGACATAAAAATGTGGCAATGTGACCAACACACAGTAAGCCGGACGATCTGAACGGAACAAGACCGGAGATCTGCTTGGCTTCAACATAGAACCAGTCGATTATGAAAACCCAACGACGTGCCAGTCAATTCGACCTACAATTGACAATAAAAGAAAATCTTATCAGTAATTTAAGGTGGAACACGTCAGTGTTGTCCCGGATAGTTCTAAATGTGCGGATAGATAGCCGATTCAATAAGGCTATCGACTAAATAGTCGATATCCAGCGTTTCCATGAAATGAAGATCTTTAGATTAATAATGATCGACTAATGTTAAATGATGATGATGTAAGTCAAAATAACTAATGCTCATGGTTCATAGCAGATTTATGGTGACTAATTAATTGAGACAAAAACAAGTACAATACATCCAAATACAAAACTTAGAAGACCCTTCCTTAATTTAAGATTCCAATATATGTTACCAAATAGTCGATTGATACAGCTATTGATTACAGACTTGGTAATCAGCAAGGGAGTAATATAAGAAAACATCATCGGCTAAATAGAACATAATCAGTATAAAGCATTGAACCGATAAGTTTGATGAAAAGAGTATAACATGCAAACAAATCGACTGTCTAATACAAATAAATGTACAAACACTCTGAATTTAATATATTATCATCAATAGTGAGGTTTGACCGGATCGATACAGATATGATAATGATAACAAACTAAAGCCAAAGAATATATAAAATCATCTATATATCGACAGATTCATGAAAACATGCTATATGTGTGAAAGCACAGGCAAACCGGCTAAAATAACTGATGTATGCATAGCAAACAAACAGAGTACATGTCTCGATCATGAATAAAACAACTAATCGATAATCTCTAATCCAAAGTCTTACCATGAGGTTCGACCGAGTCGATGCAACTATAGTTGTGTCATTAGATTAGATCTTATTAACTAGTGAACTAACTCAAGATTGGAACATATCTTTGGATGCATACTATGTTTGATTGGAATAGAGATAAAGCAAATGATCTAGCAGAATTAAGCCATCAATTATAAGATTCAAAGTGTGACCAGACTAGAAGATGGCCGATTAAGATGATGTGATATCGATTCTATCTCTATCTCAATCAGGTGATTTGTTATAATTAATAAAACATTAATTACAACAAGATCGATAACCGGTGAATCAACCAAAAACAGTAAGGAAAATCTTACTAATCTTGGTAGATTCGATAACTAGTGATATTGTGTTAAACAACAAGTTATTTAACACAATATTGATAACTTTGATCTATATTATGATTCGTAAGAGATCAATCAGCTGATGCAACCTTACAAACAACAATATGAATCGATAACTAACTTATATCATAACTCATAAAAGATAAATTAGTTGATACAGCTTTACAAGCATAATATAAGTCGTGATGGTACTCACAAGCAAGCTAGGGGTCGATCAGTCGATGCAGCCCTGTTTGCTGAAGAACCCGTCGAGATATATAGTACTCCTACTCCTAATGTGATGGTGAAAGCCGAAAAGATTTTGTTGATTGATTGTTCGTGTCCTTGTATAATAACCAGGGTCCAATATTTATATCCGGAACCTAAACATGAATCCTACTCAAATACGACTCATTACAATTCTTGGAATAAAAGAAAACATTCCTAATTTAAAATAACTTGGACCCTAATTTTTTCCTTTTAGTAGAGTCCGACACATCTTTCCCCGACGCCATCCGTACGTAGTCCATTGACGTCGTCTGCTGACGTCATCAAAAAGAGCCAATTCCAGTACCGCATCTGAATCAACTGATATCGATCTTTACGCAATCGATTCCTCGATAACACAATCATAGAAGCTTCGAGTTCCCACGTTCCCCTTCCCAAATTTTGGTGTAAACACTTTGCTACATCGATTCGATCTTTTTCAAACTGACCGGTGGGTACTCCGGTGGGGGGTCACCAGAGTTCTTCGATGGGTTTGGAACCTTATGTGTACCTCTTTGGAATGCACCCGAAACTCTAGCGCTAGCACCAGAGAGCTCATTAGAGAGTGGTTCAGCGAGGGTGTTTTCTTTGAAAATCTCACCGAAAAAGTCCTGTACTGCTGGATGAAGAGCACCAGACAATAGGCTACACAAACGACTATTTGAGTGTTTAACTCTAGTCATTGAACTAGCCATCGGGAAACCTCTGGTGGTCTTCTCCGGTGGTCACCAAAGTTTTTCATTGAGCATGAAATTTATTTTGAAAGTGAGTAACAACTAGTTTTGTGTGTTCCATTATAAATAGGTGGTGTGTTTAGTCATTTCGCCTCTCTTGGACTTCTTGGCTGATATTCACACACATTTGAGCTCAAGTTAAGACTCCACTCACATTTGTTTAGTTGAGATTGCATTTGGGTGATATTGGAGAGGATCTAGTGCATTTACATCGAGAGTTTGCATCTAATGGCACTACATCATCTTGGCCGGAAGATTGTTGTTACTCTTGGTTGTTGCCACCACCTAGACGGCTTGGAGACAATAGGACTCCGTGGAGCACTCAATTGGAGATTGTGAGGTTCCCCCGAGGTGATTTAGTGGATCCGTGGTTGTTGTGTACATCGTAATCTAGTCTCTCATACACTAGCGCTCACGTTGGAGCCAAGCTTGAGGGCTTGTTGAGTTAATATAAGAGTGGTGATCCTTAGACACGCCACAACGGGACATAGGTGGCTGGCAAGCAACCGTCAGGAGAAAAAAAAATCTTATGTCATCTTTTCTCCCTTAGGGTTTGCAACTCTACACTTGCTCTTTGCTTGTGTAGTTGTTAGAGTAATCGAGTAGCTCTTATGCTTAATTCAAGTTTTTGCATTTTCTAGTGATAACTTGTAGTTTATCTTCCTCACTAGATCTGTGTAGGTGTGCTCTTGAGCTTAGCCTTTGTTAGTTGTTCTAGTTGCTTGCTAGTTGTAGTCTGGCTACTAGACTTTATGTAGGGCTTGCTCTTGCTGGCTTGCTTAGACTAGGTGCTAGTAGTGCTTAATAGGGCTCACTTTGTTACTAACTATTGTGCCTAGTTGTGATTGTGCCTTGTAGATTTTGTTAATAGACTATTCACCCTCCCTCCGGTTATCAAACCAATCCTTTTAATGACATAGGTACATGCCTAAGATTAGTAACTCACTGGCGCCAGTGATGTTTCTACAGTTTGTTTAGAAGGCTCGAGGCACAAAAAATGTTGGCATCAGGATAGGACTGACCAGTGGTTGCTTGAGATAGTAATGGCTAAAAAGGGCATGAATAACATTGTGGTGAATGTGGCGATGCTTATTAGGGAGAAAATATAAATACATATATGTAAGAGGACGTATGAGATAATCAAAGATTTAAATAAATAGAAGGATAATGAAACTAAATAATTGTAAGAAACTTGGACAATGGTTTAATTAAGGAATATTAGAGGTCCCCAAAAGGAAACCAAAGACTCTTGATTTAGTCTCCATAGAAGTTGCACAACCATGAGATATGAGAGTCCGTTTAAAATGCAAGAATTTCACATGAATTGTAAAAGAACTTTACATGAATCAGTTTAATTTTACACAAAAAAGGATAGAATAGGGAAAAACTCTTCTGTTCTAAATAAGGCCTAGGTGAAGAAAAATAAGAAACATGAGAGAATCACGAAATTATTTTTTAACCCAAGATATTAGTTGATTGTAGCTATATGGAGATCGTGTTGTGTCGATAGATGTACAGTCAAATAAATAATAAAACTATTGAAAAGATATCCTCAAGTGAAAAAACACAAAACACAGAGGATCTATTTGGCAGAACTTTCAGAGCAACTTTCAGACAGAATGAGGATCATTGTCAAACGGATCAGAGGTCCATCATTTAGTGAAAGTGATTCTATGAATTCTATGAATGAATATTTGAAATAAACTAGGGTCTGGGAGCTGAACAAATAGGTTCTCTTAATTCACTCTACGTATAACCACTGTAGTCAGAGAGTTTAGCTTAGCATGTGTTTGGTTGGGTGGTCCAAGTGAGATGGGTTGGGTTGAACCCGTTTTTGGGCTGTTTGGTTTGGGGAGCATGTGGGTTGGGTTCATCCCTCTAGGGCGTAGATCTGGGTTCGCTCCTTTCCTCCAAATCGGAGAAATCGAGCGAACCCACTTGGTCTGCGTGCGTGCGGAGGAGGCGGACCACGCGCAGCGGCGTACAAAGCCCAACCCCGATGGCGGCGGGCACACACCACCCTGGCAACGCGCAGTGGACGGCCACGGCCACACGCAACCCCCACTGCGGCTCCCCAAGACACGTCTGGGCAGAGGGTAGTAGACCATGCCGCCAAATGAGTCATGCGGTCGCGAGGAGGACAACCCGTAAGACCGCGCCGAAGAGAACCCGAAGATGTCATGGTGTGAGAGGTCGCGGCAGCCACCGCAAGTCGCGCCAACCAGAGCAAGCCAGCAGGAGGAGGGCCGCGACCGAGCGAAGGAGTGGCGGTGAAGGACCAACCTGGGAGAGTAGACGATGAAGGAAAGAGGAAGAAGAGACCAAAGGGGTGGATGACATGTGGGCCTCACATCAGCGGTCTCATCCCAAATTTGTTAACCTTCAAACAAACAGAGAACTAGAATGGATCCATTCCTATCAACCAACCACGATATGGGTCCAATCTAGCAAAAAAAAAACTAGTTTAGGTCAACCTATTTCACTTGGTCCCGGAACCGAACACAGGCTTAGCGCGTGTTTAGTTTCATGAATTTGGGATTTTGGGCCAATTTCGTTTTAGCAAAAAAAATTTCCCACTAGTTTTTTTTAATGGTCAACAACATTCTATTTGGCACTTGGTCCCGGATTTTGGGTTCAAACTAAACAGGCTTAGAGAATCACAAAGAAACATTTTTAATTAGAAAATCAGCTTTCAAATCTAATCTAAAGTAAAAAAGATGGAATAACCCATAATAGGCTATAGAAAAATGAGGAAAAAAAAGCCAACTACCTTGCTAGTTATCCAAACGCCACTATCCCTCTGCCATAGCGAGGGCCGCCTCGTATCGAGCCGCTGAAGCCATGGCGACAACGCCGACCACCGCATTCCTCCGCCTCACTCCAGCACCTTCTCCCCGCACCGCGCGCCCTCCTCGCTCTGCTACCTTCCTGCAGCCCGCGCTCTCAGTTTCCCTCTCCCACTCCCTCCCCGACTGCCGCAACCACCGCCTTGCCGCCGCTTCCAAGGACACTGCTAGCAGCAAGGGACAGGAACAAGATCAAGAGCCCGCATCGTCCGCGCTGGAGGAAGGAGGAGCGGAGAAGGGAACGGAGGTGGGGGGAGCATCGCCCGCCGAGAAGAACCCGGAGGCGGTGGCGGCGGAGCTGAAGGAGGTGCTAAGGGCGCGGAAGGAGGCGGAGGCCGCCGAGGGGGGCGGCGGGTGGTGGGCCGGCGTGGCGCAGGAGATGACCGAGATCGAGTGGCCGGCGCCCGGGAAGGTGGTGGGCACCACCGGCGTGGTGCTTGGGGTCATCGCGGGCTCCACTGTCGCGCTGCTGTCCGTCAACGCGCTCTTCGCCGAGCTCTCCGACACCGTCTTTGCCGGACGCGGACTTCAGGACTTATTCTCCGGCTGACGACGCCGCGTGCTTCTGTACTCTGTAACTATTGTTTTCTTGCACTTGGGGCTAGGGCCATAGATCGAGTGTTGGAGGTTGGAATTATGTCCATTTTTCAATTGCGAGTCTTTTGCGAAATTGGTAATGTTACTAATATGTGAATGACATCTTGTTGGTAAATGGTGACTCAGAAACCTAACTTGAGTTTCTACATAGTTGTGAGATAATTATAGGCTCCCAGATTACTACTAATTAATACTCAACTCTTATAAAATAAGGGCTCAATTTTCACTTATGTTCAAACAATTGGCTGAAAAGAATTTCTGCAGATTAAAAAGCATATGGTTAATGCTATGCTGTTCTGATTCACTGCCACAGTAGTAGTTTGGACTAACTGAATAATGCTCACTGTCTGTTTAGTGGCTTCATTTCACCCTGATGAAGTAACTGATAGATAGGTGAATTGATACTTATATACAATCAAAAGGGACGGGCACTTCCTGCTATCTAAGTTGTGGAGTGCCTCTTAATAAATTGTACAATCTGAAGTATAGGGGTTTCCAAGAGGATTCTGACTCAACCTTGGTCGATCTGGTGAGTTACGGATGGGATTATCAGCTTAATGACATTAGCCTAATGCTTTGTTTTGTTGGGTTTGACAAATGTTCACCGTTTCTGTATCAATTCTCTCCCCATCGTTTAAGTAACCTACTCTATTAGTCTTGCATTTATTTTTCCTTGGATGATTGTATAGCCACGTTGGAAACAAGAATCTATATTAGGATCTTTTTGTGTTGCTTTGGTTACGAGGTTATGGGGTTAAATTTAATTATTTGCTTTCTAATGAATGATATATACGTATTACAATTGTAGATGCACTTCTACCAGGAAGAAATTTATAGCCGTTGTTGTGAGGTGTCTGGATGCAGCAGCATGTAATGTTGCAACTTGCTATCTCTAGTTTTCATGAATATAGCCTTGACAGTTCCAGTTAAGAATGCAAATTCAAAGTTCATGGTTCTAATGTCAGCTAGAAAGATTTATGTTGGATTTTTTAGTCAATTCTACTAAACATCATAAATATAAAGGGATGTGTGATGTGGTCTACAGGTGGACTGGAAGGGTGTGACATCCCATCCAGCATTTGTTAAAGTCTTTCTTAGCATATGAACGAACCACTGATAACCTCTCTTTCTCAGATTTATGTTACCTGCGGGCTGATATCTCTTTCAGGATCTATAGAATAAAACTGAACCACTGAACACTGATAACCTCTCTTTCTCATCATTTGTTGCAACTGATGCACTGGTCTCTTGAAGATCCCATTGTTCATTATCTGTGTAAAAGAAATGCACAATTCAAAAAGAGATTACAATTGTCTGTCTTGCACCATAATAAGCATTTACGAATGATCGTTGATTACCTCTATTTGGTCTCCTAGATTGATGAGCAAGGTGTGAGGGCTGGTCGGCATGTTTGCTTCCTGACCTAGGAAACTTGCCAGGGCTAGACATCCATCCCAGGCATCCATTTTTTAGTGCATGGGGTTGGATCGACCTGCCTGGGTGCAGCCCCCCAGGCTCCTTTCGTCTCCCCTCCCCCGGGCGCCTCCCCATCTCCCATCCCACCCCGCTCAACGCCGGCATCCACTGCAGAGCCGGCGGCCACCGCAAGCCACGCTGCCGCCGTGGCCCCTCTCTCCTCCTTGGAGCCCGTTTCCATCTCCCCTTTGTCTCCCCTTGCGCATCCTTTCTAGCCGGCGGGCCGGTCCAAGGAGCTTCACTGGAATGACTCCAGCCCAGCTTCGTGCAGCTCCGGCGGCTCCGTGGCCAGGTTCTCTGGACCGCGCTCCTTCCGCGACGTCGTCGCCACTGTCTCCTCTATAGCAAAGATGCCATCACCTGATCCTCCCCCAACTGCGGAAAAAGCTCCCACACGCATCCTGCTCCGCTCGACGATTCAACTTCCCGAGTCGGTTCGGCCAGGGCCTGATGCGGAGGGATGGATGAAGCATGAATCTCGTTCCACTCGACGCAACAGAGCTCGCCACGTTCGAGGTCCGCGACGGCCTAATCCGGCGGATCTCCGTGGCAAGTGTTTCAATTGTTTCTCCCCAAATCATCGCGCCGCCTATTGTTGTTCTCATCCCCGTTGTTTCCACTGTCAATCCCTTGGGCACCGATCCTACGTTTGCCTAGGTCGAGGTGGTGCCGCAGGTGTTCGTGTGCCTGCCTCTGCTTCACAGGATGGACGCCGATCCCACGTATGCCGGGGTCGAGGTGGTGGAGCGGGTGGTGGCGCGCCTGCCTCCGCTCCACAAGATGGTCGCCGAATCTCAGTCTGGAGAAGGATTACTCCAACGCCTCACCAGGAGGAGATCGTTCGGGAGGCGGCTGTCAGCTCAGGTGTGGAGGTGACCGAGCCTGCTGATGTTCTCGGGGAGCGTCGTGGGCGTCGCCATCGACGGCCGCGCCGTCGTCCGCCCGGCTCAGGATAATTCTATGGAGGCATCTGGCGGGCATGAGGGCAACGGTGGAACTGCCTCCTGGGACCTCATATCCCGGATGACGGCGCTCCCCCGGCCCGGGCTCCGTTGTGCGTCATCAATTGGTCTGAGCGTATCGACCGCGCGGAAGCGAAACTCAGGCGAGCTATGATCATCACGGTGATCGGTGATCACGAACCGGTCAGCACAGAAGAGGTCATGGAGGCGATCGCATCCCAGTTCAACATCGATACTACTACACTCTCCCTATGTCGTTCAGGAGTGGCTGAGTTCATCTTGTCAGGGATTGAGGAAGCTACAGTGGCTAGGATGGCTAACAACAATGGCATGCCGGCGAGCTCTACCACTCTACGCCTACATTGTCGCCGCTGGTCGAGGCAGGCACACGCCTCGGCAGCAACCCTCCAGTCCCTCGTCGACGTTGAGTTACGGGGCGTTCTGGCTCACACATGGGAGGTTTCCACGGTGGAGAATTTACTGAACCCTTACGGCTGGGTCGAGAAAATCCATCCGGCGACTCGATTAAGAGAAGACTACTCCGTCTTTCGCTGTTCGGCCTGGTGTTTCCGTCCGGAGTGGATCCCCTCTGCTCGAGAGCTTCATGTTGTGGAACCGTCGTCCACCGTGGCCGAAATTCCACCTGTCAAGCGGACGCTGGTGTATCCCATCTCTGGCCGTTGGGAGTACACCACATCCAGGGCTGGACAACAACGACTCCCCTCCTCCCGGTGATGCTGACAGTTCGAGCGGCGGTTGGCGACAGCTCCGTCGCGTAGCCGCATCGGCGCCGGAGGGACAGCATGGTGCCGTTCTTGGTGCTCCGGCGAGTGGCAGCTCCCATGGCCGGGTGGGGGCAGCCGCTTCTGGTGCGCAACACGAGGCAGTCGACATTGAGGTGTGCGAGACAACACGAGGCGACGCTGCACCACACCCCAGGCCCTCTGATTTGGTGATCATTGATGACCCAGCAGTTCAAGAGACTACTGCACCTCCCAAGGTGTCTTCCAAGCCGCAAGATGTGCAAACGGGTTCCTTCACTTTCGATTCAAATTTATCTGTGAAAGAGGTGCTGTTAGCCTCACCTCAAGGCATGTTGGCCCAGGCTATGGGCTCTGGAAATCCTCATGAAGATGTACCTTCTGTGGTCTCCCTGACCCTGGTGCATTTCGAGATGACAGAAACTCCGGCGCCATCTTCCGATAGGTCTGTGGAGGCCCACATTTCAGCCTTCATCGCCATGGGAGAAGCTTCTGTTGCTGCCGCTACCGCCGATGTTCCCCTGCAGGCAGCAGATCCTACGTTTGCTGTGGAGATGACACTTTCAGTAGAAGATCATCTGGGGCCGGTTGAGCTGGGGCCTCCCGTCCCATTTGAGGCCGTCATTCCTGCCCTTGTCATCGATGACACAGAAAATTCCACGGACCAACTTTGCAATTCTGCTCCAGCTGCTGATCTCATTGGGCTGGTTGAGCTGACGCCTCCTGCCCAGGTCGAGGCTATCGCTCCCAGGTCCACTACAGAGGTCGAGCCACCTGAGCACCCATCCTCGTCAATCACATGGCTCCCTGCAGATGAAGTTTTGCCGACTGAGCCAACAATTGGGACCGAGCACCTTGAACCCGGCCTACCTCTGCTTGTTTACTCTCTCGATGACCCCGAGCTCAGGCCTCGCCAGTATCACAGCCGCCGTCCCCAACAGCTTCATTTGTTGACAAAATATCCAAGCTGCTGCAGCATGTGCTTCCCACCCCAAGGGCACAGAAGTCTGGTCCGCGCCGTGCTATCGCCTATCATGACTGAACCACCACGTCGAAGCCGTCGGATTGCCAGACTTCCCCCCGAGATAGACCATAATGCAGCTCTCACTGCCTGTGAACGTTGGGCTTCGTCAATGATGAGGACCGGCTGCCGGCGGATGTTTTGGATAAGTACACTAGTTTTTTCAGCAGGCCGCTTAGCAGGGAGCATGTCGTGGCCCTTGCCAAACTGTTAGGCAAGGAGGTCCCGACAGAAGCCCAATTCCTGGCTGTGGAGGGCCTGGTAGCCTAGGCTAGGATTGTGGATTACTATATGTTGGGTCATTCCTATATTCTGTCATCAATGGATTCTCCAAAAGTTTTGATTTGGAATATGAGGGGACTTAATGATCGTGCCCGCCATGATAATGTTCGCAAGGTGGTTGATACTTGCCGTCCTGCCTTGATCTGTCTGCAAGAGACCAAGCTGGCTTTGATATCAGAACGGGATGCGATCTCCTTTCTTGGTATAGATTTTAGACAATTCGTCTTCCTTCCGGCTCAAGGAACCCGGGGTGGGATCCTGGTTGCATGGCGTGAAGGTTGCCTGGTCGCCAACCCGTGGAGAGTACACCACCATTCCGTTTCGGTCCAATTTGCAATTGAAGATGATTTAACGCTGGTGGTTCACGGGAATATATGGTCCACATCAAGACAGTGAGAAGGTTGCTTTCCTTGATGAGCTCCGAGAAGTCAAAGCCTTGTGCACGGGCCCTTGGTGCTTAGGAGGTGATTTTAATATGATCTATTCTGCAGAGGACAAGAACAACGAGAATCTCAACAGAGCCATGATGATGCGTTTTCGGCGATTTGTTAACGATTTCAAGCTCAAAGAAATCCCACTCATTGGGAGGCGGTATACCTGGTCAAACGAGAGAGGGGAACCAACTCTTGTCAAACTTGATCGAATTTTATGCACTGCTGATTGGGAAGCACTCTATCCTGAGTGTATTTTGCAAAGTCAGGCAACTGAAATCTCTGACCACTGTCCACTTGTGCTTGGCCTCACGGAGGGAATTCATGGCAAGCGGAGATTCCATTTTGAGAGTTTTTGGACTAAACTCCCAGGATTTCATGATGCGGTCGCGGCTTCTTGGAGTGAGCCAATCTCCGCCACGTGCGCCATAGAGCGCGTCTCACTCAAGCTCAACGCCTCACCCGTGCTCTCCAATCTTGGAGTCAACGACAAGTTGGCCATATCAAAACTGAACACGCACTGGCCCGTGAAATTCTCCACCGACTGGAGATTGCCCAGGATCAACGGCAACTAACGTGGGAGGAGAACTGGTTGAGACGCGAACTAAAGAAACATTGCCTCGTCCTTGCGTCATTGGAAAGGACAATAGCACATTTGCGGTCTCGAATCAGATTCTTGAAAGATAGACGCCAACACTTCTCTTCCATAGACAAGCTGGGTTCCGTAAAAGGAAGAATTTCATTCCAAAACTGTTATATGAGGATCAAGTTGTCACGGGTCAAGAGGAAAAACAAGATGTCATGTTCAATTATTTTGATGGTCTGCTTGGTACTGCTCTGCCTCGTTCATCCACCCTGTACCTATCCTTCTTCCACAGAGCTGGCTTTGATCTCTCAGTACTGGATACACCTATCACGGAGGAGGAAGTGTGGGACACGATCAAAACTTTGCCAGCTGATAGAGCACCTGGACCCGATGGATACACGGGGAGGTTCTATAAATCATGCTGGCACCTGATCAAAGCGGAATTCATGGCAGCAATCATTACCTTGCAACAAGGAGATGCAAGAAAGTTGTGGTTACTAAATTCAGCTTATCTCACTTTAATCCCAAAGAAGGCTGAGGCTTTGTTGCCAAAAGACTTCCGTCCTATTAGCCTAATTCATAGCTTCGCTAAGCTGGTCACTAAGGTAATGGCTAATCGTTTGGCTCCTTTTCTCAATGATTTGGTCGCTGCCAATCAGAGTGCCTTCATCCGTGGTAGATGCATCCACGACAATTTCATTTTGGTTCAGCAGAATATCAAATTGCTTCACCGCACAAGAGTCTCAAGTTTGTTCTTGAAGCTGGATATTTCAAAAGCTTTTGATTCGGTCTCATGGGCTTTTCTCTTGGAAATTCTCACGCATTTGGGCTTTGGTCCCATTTGGTGCAATCTGGTCACGAATCTACTGAAGACATCTTCAACCCGGGTTCTTGTGAATGGTGAGCCAGGTAGAGAGATCAGACATCAGCGAGGTCTCCGCCAAGGAGATCCCCTTTCTCCCATGCTCTTTATCTTAGTAATGGATGTGCTGAATAGCTTGTTTGCTAAGGCTGGTGAGCTTGAGCTTCTCACACCGTTGGTTCGACGCAATCCTATACAAAGGATCTCTCTATATGCAGATGATGTTGCTCTCTTCATCCGGCCCACTGAACCAGAAATAAATTTAACCATGGAAATCCTTGCCAAGTCCGGGGAAGCTTCTGGTCTACAAACCAATTTGCAGAAGAGTTGTGTTATCCCGATAAGGTGTGAGGAGTCAGAGCTGGAAACTGTGACAACCACATTGCCTTGCCCGATGTCAAGCTTCCCTTGCACATATTTGGGACTGCCGATCTAAAAAAAAGGGCGTACCCAGTGCAGAGAGCTCCCGCTCTGTGCGGGGTCTGGGGAAGGGTGTTAGTGGCAAGCCTTACCCTCGCCTGTGCAATGCGAGGAGACCGCGACTCGAACCCGGAACCTTCCGGTCACAGGCGGTAAGACTCTACCGCTTGCACCAGGCCCGCCCTTCGGACTGCCGATCTCTAATAGCAAATTGAAGAAAGCTGACCTGCTGCTCTGGATTGAAAAGGTCGGAGACAAGCTGCCCGGTTGGAAAGCATCTCTCATGAACATGGCTGGTTGTGTCACTTGGGTTCATTATGTCCTCTCAGCCGTGCCTATTTATGTACTGATTGCCATCAACGCTCCCAAATGGTTTATTCGTGCAATTGACTAAGATCCGTCGAGCATTCACATGGAAAGGGCGGCAACAAGTGAATGGTGGGTCTTGCTTGGTCGCATGGGATAAAGTCCAGCTTCCACTTGATTTGGGAGGGCTAGGAATCCTCGATCTTGAGATCATGAGTTGGGCCCTGCAAGTCCGATGGCTATGGTTTGCAAAAACGGATCCAAATCGATCTTGGAAAGGGCTTAACATACATGTCCATCCAAATGCATGTGTGTTGTTTGCTATTGCTCTCGAATCACAAGTGGGCGATGGTAATAACACGCTTTTTTGGTCAGATAGATGGCTCATAGGATGCTCTGTAGCAGATGTAGCGCCTCTGGTGGTTGCTAACGTGCCTTCAAAAACCCGTAAGCAACGCACAGTAGCACAGGCCTTGCATGACCAATCCTGGCCTGCAGATATCCAAGGAGGACTATCACTAATAGGGCTTTTCGAGTATTTTCAGCTGTGGGATATGTTACTGGATATACATCTGTCCCAGGAGGAAGATGTGCATATATGGAAACTGGATGGCTCGGGTAATTTCTCCTCCAAATCTGCTTATCGTGCTTTCTTCAATGGAGCAATCCCTTTTGAGCATTGGCATCGGCTATGGAAATCTTGGGCTCCTTCAAAATGCAAAGTTTTTCTTTGGCTCGCCATCCGGAACCGGTGCTGGACAGCAGACAGACTTGCGAGGCGAGGCCTTCCACATCCGGCCAAGTGTCCGCTATGTGACCAGGAGGAAGAAGACATCCAACATCTGCTCACCACATGTGTGTTCTCCCGGGATTTCTGGTTCCGGGTTCTTGCACCTTTGGGCTTACAAGATCGGGTTCCAGGTCGTCATGAATTGTCTTTTGCAGATTGGTGGAGAAAAGCAGTGAAAAAGATTCAGAAAGATACAAGAAAAGGTTTGAACTCGATTATCATTTTGGGCGCCTGGGTAATCTGGAAACACCGTAATTCATGTGTTTTTGACGGCGCGCGGCCGTGCATCAACGACCTCCTCTGGATGTTCAGAGAAGAGCAACACCTCTGGTGTCTTGCTGGAGCTCGAAGTCTGAGAGTGCTGGGTCAAGGTCAGGGAGACAAGCTGGGGCTGTCTTAGTTTGTTTCCTCGCTCGTTCTGGGTCAGGTCTCATCTCTCCCGTGTTTCTTTAGAGTAAGTCCTATTCATGTAAAATTCAACCCCTCATGGCCCGGCTCGGAGTGAGGTGGTGGTGATTGTAAGGGGCCGGTTCTTTCTCTCTATAATACAAAGATACAAAGCTCTCCTTCGTATTCGAGAAAAAAAATACCAGACTCATCTCGGAAAAACCTGAAGTTCACCAACGCTGTTGTCTACCATGAGAAGCGAAACGATTGTGCCGTCTGAGTGAGGCTTCAGACCGAAGACGAGATCCAGCCTCGAGCATGGAGGGTAGAGTTGAACCTGGCGTAGGTGTTAGCCTTGTCGCCGAATTGGTTAATGAAGTAGTTGTCGTCAAGCTCCAGCAGCTTGGCCATTTCTGGAAGCATACAGTCCTTCACTCTCGTGCATTTTCTGGTGAACTCGTGCAGAACATCCCTGCATAGGGATGAAGCAATCTGGATCCATGGGCTGTGTACTCTGGATGGATGGCACCTGGTGGAGAGAGAGGATGCTGGGGACAGGACCTGACAGAGCTACAGTAGCCTAGAGGAGAGGGATGAAGGATAAATCAGGGGGGAATTTATTCAAAGGTCACGAGTCCAGGAGTGAACAGTCATGAAGACGGTACCTGGGTCTAGTATGGCGCCGCCGCCAGATCCGGACCTTGGTACTGCAATGCTGGAGGGGACCAAGGTACCCACCTGGATAGCCGGCCCATCTTGCTTCCTGCCTTCCATGGCTGCAGGTCCATTCCAGTAACCCTAGAGGGGATTTGTTTCAGGTATAGGTCAGTCGTCGGGGTGGTGGAGCGGTTCTTCGGCGATGGTTCTGCCGCCAATCCTCATCACGAGCAGCTGGTCTGCGCCCGTGGGAATGGGCTACGCTCCCAGCAGCGCGGATGGTCTGAGTTGATAATGGAGATACAGCTAGCAGCTCATCATTGCCAAGGAGACGAGGCCGTAAGAGGTAAGACTGAGCGTCGTATTTGATCTGTGCATTTCATCATCACGTCTTTTGCTAGTATAGTTTTTAATGCTTTTCCTAGATTTCTAATGCTAATAGCACCTCTAGTTTACAGATTAGGGTACCACTACCATACCATCAATCTGATGAGCCCCTTGTAGATTTAGATTCCCCTGTGTTTAACAAAATTTAGCATCTTTGCTATACACGGTTGGGTATAAAAGATTATTATAGTGACTGAATAGGGAAGCATTTTTCTGGTAAATTGTTCCATTAATAGTGGAAACAAAATTTCTACTGGAACAAGTTAAAATAAGTGCACTGTGGGAATGTGATGGTTGTTTTGGAGTTGTTTCTTGCTGGGATATTCAATACAGTAGCAAGGTGGCATCCAGTATCAGGTACTTGCATAAAAGTGCAATCTGGGATCTCCATACCTTCTGTGGATGGATATATGATTCTGCATATATAACAAAAAAATTGACCTTATCAAGGAGACAATGGCTACGGTGGGGCTGAGGGTGAGTGCCCACTGGGCATGATCTTTGCTTGTACTTGAGTGGATTAAGAGTCTCAAGTACACAGTAATTCAATTTATTGATATTGTTTGTGTGTATGTCTGGACACAAGAAGGTGTGGCAGATCAGCCCCTGCTTGTGCTGAAGGGGCAGCAACCAGTGTTCCAGGTGCAATGGTCTGCACGTGTTACGTTTTCTTACAGTATCAGCGCTGAAAAAAAAAAGTTGGTTGATAACCATCTTCTTGGCTTCTGTTATCTCAGGTATTGTTGTTCCATCAATGCCTGATCTCAGTGGGTTTGCCATGCCTAAAAAGACTGAAGGTGCACTTGCAGTGAAGTGCAAAAGATCAATTTTTGGGACATCACACATAGTTGGGAATTTAAAATTTTCCTTGTTTAGGCATCATCAGCTGTGGAGAGAGGAATTGTAAATCACTTGATCCCTGTAACTTGGTGTAGCAACCCGTGCTGCAGGTGAGATGTTTTTTGCAATCTATACATTTGTTTGCCATTGAACTGAAAGTTTGGTAGTAAAGCTAGTGTTCAGATAGTCTATTTTGGCGCCTAGTCATAGATAAATACAGTTGATCCTTGATGCTCATTTAGTCTGCTGGGTATTGATTCACTTTATGCTACCTATCATAATAAAACAAAATAGTAAATTGTAGATTTTACAGTCATAGTACAAAATAAGGGAGAGTTTTTTGTCATAATAAGATAAACTTTCTAAATTTGACAAAATTTATAGAAAGAACAAATATTGTTTACTTACCCATAGTACAATACTTATGTTCTATCTAATTCTTGTGTACTTCAGCTTTTCTTTTTTAGAAAGAGCATTTAGACCCATTAAAGTTTATCTTATTTGGAGCGAGCAGGTGTCTAGACTAGACAACACTTCCAAGCATCTAATTTTGGACGCTTGGACAGGGCTTCGAGCAAGACGCGCCATTAAAGCTGAGGCAAGCCACATCGACCTATATACACTTTCTTTTCTTACTAAAGAATAATTTTATTAATATTTGGGATTGCAAGGTTTCAGTCAGGTCCCTTATTCATTACATAGAATCACATCTATATCTTTGCAGTCTCGATAACCATTTCCCCTCGAGCGACGTGTTCATAGAGGCCAGCAATATATTCTTTGATTTTCACCTTCTTGTATAGTGCTGGATGGTTCTCATCTATCAATTTATCCGCGGGCCGGATTTCTCTTTCAGGATCTATAGAATAAAACAGAGCCACTGATAACCTCTCTTTTTCAGCATTTGTTACAACCCGATGCACTGGGCTCTTGAAGATCCCATTACTCATTATCTGTGTAAAAAGAATTGCACAATTCAGAAAAAAAAAATATAACAATTGTCAATCTTGCATTTATAGTAAGCATAACCAGATTACCTAACCTTTAATTTTCTATTTCCAATCATAAATGGATTATATGACACAAATAAGTGCTTACGAATGATAGCTCATTATTACCTCTATTTGGTCTCCTAGATTGATGAGCAGGGTGTGAGGTCTGGTCGGCACGTCATACCAGACTCCATCTTCGAGAACCTGAAGTCCACCAACGCTGTTGTCTACCATGAGAAGCGTGACGAATGTGCCGTCAGAGTGAGGCTTCAGACCGAAGACGAGATCCGGCCTCGTGCATGGAGGATAGTACCTGAACCTGGCATAGGCGTCAGCCTTGCCGCCGAACTGGTCAATGAAATAGTCGTCGTCAAGCTCCAGCAGCTTCGCCATTTCTGGAAGCAGGCAGTCCTTCACTCTCGTGCATTTTGTGGTGAAATCGTGCAGAACATCCCTGCATAGAAAAGGCGACCACGGCATGGCATTAGGCTGTCTGCTACAAGTTTATCTGGTTCTCCATTATTTAGTATATAATAAGTAGAGGAGGTATGATGTTAATTTTGTAATCAAAGCGCCCAATGCAAAGAAGTTTGACGACCTCAACATGATCGGAAGATTACCTGAGACATGTGGGCCATAGGTCAAGTTTCCTGTCCTCTTCAGGCTCCACGTTGAGGTAAAGGCGGTCGGTCCAGTCCAGGACCTGGTCCTCCGACGGCACCCAGTCGTTCCCGTACCCTTCGAGCTGGAAGCGCTTGCCGTCGATCGTGTTGCTGTGCTTCTGCTTCTCCTGGAGCGGCTGCCTGAAAAACTCCCTCGACGCGTCCATCATGGCGTTCATCAGAGAGGCCTCCATGCCGTGGTTGGTGACCTGGACACCGATCGATGCGTTCTCCACATCGAGTGGTATATTCTGTAGCAAGATAGACTCTGTGCGCGCGTGTGCGTGCGTACCAGGAAGAGACCCCAGGACTCGAGCGCCAGCCGGAGCTTTGAGGCCTCGTCGTCGGCGACCGGCTGGCACAGGCGGGCGAGGTCGATGACGGGGACAGGCGCGGTTACCGTCGCCTTGAGGTCGTCGTTGCCTGCGCGCGCGACGTAACGAGCCGGCACGTCGTCCGCGGCGCCCAGCTGGCCGGCGAGCTCTTGCACCGGCGGCAGCAGCACCGGCCGAGCTTCCCCTCCTGCACTTTCCATGAGAGTGCTGAAGGTTGCGAGCAGAGAGGGGGGCTGGCCTCTGTAATCTGTACGACCAATATCTTCGCTGCGACTGCGACCCGATCAGTGCGCTTCGGGCTACGTCTGCTCCTCTCTGGTCCGTCTGGCTGCTAGTGTAGCTAGACCAGCGATTATTTTGACGCGCGGGCCCCGGGGCACCGCCGTGTTCGTCGCATATGCACAGATATGACGTCCAGGTATGGACTCGCGTTGTTCCCATCCTTCGCCACCGGGAACGTGTCCACGTTCGGAGAACATGATCCCGAAAGTAATTTTGTTCCTCATTTTACAATCAAGAGTAAACCACGTCCGCCATACAACAACTTGATAGATCGGTGCAAATTAGTCGAACAACTTATAAACTACTTAATGAAGTGCAACAACTTTAGCGAAATGATGCATATAAGGTCCAAACGTTACCAATATAACAAAATACGTACCGGTACAATCATAATATTAACCAAGAACAAAGTAGTTGTAGCAAAAACAGATCCGGCCTACAAGTTTATAAACTAAGGGTCTGTTTGGCAAAGATTCACCGCTGCAAAAGTGAATCTGGATTTGAGATTCACCGTGGATCAGTTCCGCCGTGGATCTGAGATCCACCGTAGATCTATCAGGGAATTGTTTGGCAAAATAGTAGTTGCAGATCCACGAAACTGAGGTTTTGATAGAATGGCCTGTTTTGCCCTTGTGGTGAACCCCGCATGTCATTGTCTCTATCTCTAGTAGAAAAAAAGGAAATCTAGTTCTTCCCCCTTCTTCCTCTCTTTCTACGGCAGGGGCTTGGGAAGAACCACCATGGACAACAGCGTCCGCGAAACCCCCAGCCGTGCCTCCAGCCATGGCGGCCGCACCCCCTGCCAAGCAGATGACCAGGGCGGCCTCGCCCCTTGCTACGAGGCCGGGGGGGAGGGCCGCGACGTCGGCCAGAGGATGCTCGACGACGGCCACGCCGGCTGGGGGCCGGCCATGGCGGGCAGGCTGGGTGACGCGAGAGGCAGCCACTAGGTGGAGGAGGTTGAGGAGGACCAGATCTATATTCTCCGGCCATGGGCGTCTCGCCGGAGTAGCAGGACGGAGGGAGGAGGTGGGCGGCGTGGCCTCCTTGGCCGCGATGGGAGGAGGGAGACGCGGGCTTGCGTTCGGTCAGGTGGAGAAGAAATCGAACAGAATAGAAAAAAACGAACCGGTACGTAGCAAGAGTGTGTAACAAGTGGAGCACCCATCGAGGAGATCCACCAAAATGGTGAATCCAGCCCCTAGATCCACTATTTTGATGAATCTAAATTTGGTAGATCTAGATTGTTTGGGAAATATTTTGGTGGATCCAAGCTAATGAATCCGAATCCCTGCCAAACAGGTCCTAATACTAGTAAAGTGATTCTAAACCAACGATCATCCTCATGTGAAAACTCACCTTAGCATGATTAGAATAGAGGGTTAAAGTTTAAAAACAATATAAATACACTGACTATATTCACGAGGAGTAGCACGGCTTCTCGGTGATGATGCTCTATTGCTAGTGGCTTAGTTGATGGAGGTTGTGGAGCACTTTTGCTTCATGATGTCTGTCTTATGGTTGCCAAAATTATCTCAAACTACTCCACACTAACCGCACAAATAATGCACGTACCGTAATCTGCAATAATTAATCATAGCATCTAATATGTGAGTATATATTTTATCATACTGGCGGTGGCAGTGTTTGCACCATACATGCACCAATTTGCTAAGTAATTGTATCTATTTGAGCAGTTTATAAATTGTTGGATTAATCTGCAACCACCTAGTGGAGGGATGTTTTAAAGTTACTCCCACAATTTAAGGACATTACAATTATCCAAGTTAGAAATGGGCAGACTTGTTTATTCTGGAAGGATAAATGGCTAAACCAGCCCATTGAACAAGAATTTCTTGAGAGCTATTCATTTGCCAAAAACAAGTCAATCTCTGTCAATAGAGCATTCAGTCTAAACACAAATTACAGAAATGTTCAACTTGCCACTCTCTCAAATAGCATCCACACAGATGCAGACCCTACAACAACTAATGGAAGCAACAAACTTGGAAAATACTGAAGATATCTGGTCATACAATGGGGGATCCACTAGATTCTCTTCTTCAGGAGTCTATAGAAAACTGATTGGACATCATCCGACTGATCCAGCATTTAATTGGGTCTGGAAAAGCTTCTTCCAACGTAAGCAAGCACAAGTCTTCTGCTGGTTACTTCTGAAGGATAGATTAAGTACAAGAAACACACTGAGAAGAAAACGTATGGAGCTAGATTCATATGACTGTGAACTCTGCACTCAAGGGATTGAAGAAACAACTGAGCATCTCTTCCTTCACTGTCCCTTTGCCCAGCAGTGCTGGGGACTCATCAACTTAGCAGTTTCCTCTAACAGTGGTACTATTGATAACATCAATGCACTCAAGGATCATATTAGTTCCCAATTCTTTATGGTGGCAATTATTCTTATGTGTTGGACAATCTGGCTAGCCAGGAACGAGAAAATCTTCAATGCAAATCAGATAAGCCTACAAGATTGCAGAAGAATTTTCTTCAAGGAAGCAAGACTGGTTGGTATGAGAGTGAAATCAAGTCTTTCAATCCAATTTGATCAACGATACAATCTTTAGAAATGATCTAAGCCCCAGATTTTGTTTTATTTTCTTTGTTTCTTTCTGTGTTTCTAAGCTCTCCTTTTCCTCCTCTTCTTGAACCCTCGTGTAAACTGTTGCTATGTTGTCTTATTTTCAATAAAATTTCTGTAGGGCTGCGGCCCCTCCAGTTTCTAAAAAAAAAAAATCTGCAACAACCTACCAATTTGGTATGATGAATATAGTTTACTCTTTTTTTTCACTTCTTCTCCGGAATTTATATAACATGTCCATGCATTGGTTTGCTCACAGACATGTGAATCCATGCGGCAGGTGTCCATGGGATCCGTCCCCCGTGAATTTTTGTTCCCCAACAAAAAAAAAATTAGAAAGGCGGCAAGAGATTTGCCTGATTTTTATTAGACGAGAAAAGAAAAAAAAACAGATTAAAAAGTTACAAGCACACAACTGGAGCCGAAGCTCAACGCCACCAAGGCAACTCGGTCAGGAACCCGACTAGCTACCAACCTGAAACTCCACCTGAAGCCTAACAACAACGACTGAAAAAACAAAGGAACAAAAAGGAGCCCTGTTCAGGCCCTCAGAACCAAACCAACTGTATAAACACCCCCAACACTACTCTTGTTGTGATCCAGCATTAGATGTATTTGCCAACTGGTATTGCATCAGATCTTCCTTGCAAAGCATCGCCACTTGATCAACCTGCATAACCTTGTTCTGAAAAGTTCTTCTATTGCGCTCCTTCCATATGTTCCACCAAAAGTAGATGATAATTCCATCAAATTTCCTTCGCTGATCTTTGTCAATTTTTGCTCGACACTTACGCCAGTAAGTATGCAGGGATCCCGTCATACCCCACAGTGTCAACCACCGAGGGTCCTAGCCATCGCTTTATGATGGTCCAAACTTGTTTTGTGAATATGCAGTCCTTGCAAAGGTGTGTCGGTGTTTCCGGATCAATACCACAAAGCTTGCATATTGGGTCGTTCGGCCAGTTTCGTTTCGCTAAATTATTCGCAGTTAAGATTTTTTTTATGCAGCAACATCCAAGCAAAAAATCTGCATTTGGGCTGTGCCTTTGCTTTCCAAATCGGAAGGAGTTTTAACTTGCTAAATGTGCCTATGAATTGGATGCCGTAGGCGCTTTTGGTTGTATACTCTCCATCTGCAGTCCAGTGCCAACGAATGCTATCATCCACATCATCTTGCAACTGGATTTGGTTCACTTCTTCCCACAAGCTGACATATTCCCTTATTTCTTGTGGCGTGACTAACGGATTGATGTGCGATATCCATCTATTGTTTTCAAACGCTTTTTGCACTGTTATGGTTTTCTTTCTGGATTTCTTGAACAACGTTGGTGCAATAGCTTTTGGTGTTCGCCCATTAATCCATGATGACGTCCAGAACTTGGTCATCCTACCATCTCCTAATGTCACCATTGTCGATGCCGCGAAAAGCTCCCTGTCTCGGCCATCCACCGGAAGATCAAGTTTGTTCCACGCTCTATCCTGATGTTTCCATTGGTACCATAACCAACGTAGTCTTAAAGCTCTTGAGAAGCGTTCGAGGTCTAGTACCCCTAAACCTCCTTTGTCCTTTGGTGTGCACGTCGTCGGCCAGTTGATGATGGAATGCCCACCATAAACCTTATCTGGCGTCTCTCCCCTCCATAGGAAGCTTCTCCTCAAACGATCAATCCTTCTAATTAACCACTTGTGTTCAGGGAAAGCAGTCATATGGTAAATCGTTTGAGATGAAAACACCATTTTTACTAGTGTCTCTCTCCCGGCTGTGGATAAAAACCTGCCTTTCCAACCTGGTAGTCTTGCCCCTATTTTGTCAATCAAAGGTTGGACCTCTATCTTACGCAGTTTCCGCACGTGTAGAGGGAGGCCTAAGTATCTACCAAGGAAACTACATATCTTTCCGGGGAAATTTTGCAGCTGTGAAACCGCTATGTTGTCCAATCTTATAGGAAATATTTCGGTCTTGGAGATGTTGATCTTGAGCCCTGAACAATCCCCCAAAAAATGCAGTAACCTGAGCAGGTTGTCAAGTTCTGTGTTTGTTGGGTAAGCGAAAATGGCTGCATCGTCCGCGTACAGAGAGCACCGCAAGGTCGCTGCTTTGGGGAGTACCGGGTTTAATATTCCTCTTCGTGCGGCCTTGTCGATGATACGCTGAAGCGGATCGATAGCCAGGATGAACAAGAGAGGACAGGGGCGGATGTACAGTATTACGTCGGGGTCCGCCGACCCCGATGACTTCCGTAGAACCTGTGATACCCCATGTAATCTCACCGTGGAGGACCCCAGTAAAATCAGACATTGACCCCGGCAACTATGCAG